GAATTAATTATAAAGTATTATATTTTTTTCTGATTTCACAATTATTGTGAACCTGATTTATAATTTAATTTCCTAAGAAATCTCATGGCAAATGCTCTTTACATTCATCTTTTGATGAATATTATACTTAATTATTAATATCATAGATAATTATAAAGTTATCTCTTGTAAAAAATTAAGGCAAACTTTTCAGATCCAATATTATCCTTTATTTTTCTGCTTTAAATCTTATTTGTAGACATTTAAATTTTCATATATTGTAACTATAACTATAATTAAAGGGTTTACCTTAGAAAATTTTTACAATTAGTTATTTAGTAATTTTTCACTTTGTTTTTTCTAGGATGGAGCTTATTATTCGAAAAAGATTATTTATTCAGTTGGTGCTCCTCTAAAATATCTCTTAGAATGATGAATTCGAAATTTTTACAGTATTAATACTATTCCTAATCTTAAAGGTTTTTATGCTGATCAATCAATAATAATGATAATACTCTACGCTTATTGTGTTTTTCAATAGGATATCAATTATGTCATTATGTCAAGATATCTATTCTTTTAGTTCTGGGCTGGTTTGGTAAAAAAATTTAAATATTGATTTTCCAATCCAAATTGATATATGTATCTATTAAATTGAATATAGTAAACTTAAAATAGATTAGTTTAATATTTGTAAATAATGCTCATTCTACACTAAAAACACAATTATGAACTTAAATAATAGAAAGAAAATTCTATTTCTTACAATTTAAAACTGTAATCCTTATTCAAAATAAGAATTAAATTAATATGTTTATTTCATATTCTTTTACCAGTTCCCAATTTTAAACCATTACTATTTTCATCTTATGAACCACACCAATAAAAAGATTTGTAAAGAAAATTCATACATTTTTTTCTATTCTCTTTCATTTTCTCTTAAAAAAATATCCCATATCCTCTCATTCTGAACTTACTCTTTATAAAATCCATAACAACTAAGCCTTTAAATTAATTTCCATTCAAATAAGCTATAAGTCTAAAATTATTTTACAATAATCAAATCTCAATTACAATTAAATAATAATGAAAAGAATTTGTAAACCTACTAAGACAGAGATTGTATTCTGTATAAGGGTTGATAACTTTTTTTAAATTAACATAGATAATAATAAATTATATTGATATTTTACAGTTTTCTAATTTACATAGATGAAAACATATCAGTTAAAAAGTTGATTTTTGTGCGATCTGAAATTAGATTCATATAAATTTTAATAATAAAATATTGGTTGGTAAGAGGGTGTGATATAATTGTACAGTTTAAATTTGTCTGTATGCATTCAATCAAAAGGTTTATTATGAGTATGATGGAATTCAAAATTCATAGATTCAAACATATATTTAAAATAAATTAAGTAAATTCTTACCTTCAAAGATAAATCTTTAATCTAACCTTCTCCTCTATTATACTTTAAAAAATCATCTAAAAATGTTAAAGTTTAATTGTTTAATAAAATTATTCTATTACTCAATTTTCTTATCATTATATCCCTTTCCAATTTTATCTTCTATTTTATTTCTTAAATTTATTTTGTTCTAATATATCCTTAATTCACTAATTAAAATTTAAGATAATATTATCTCAGTTAATAAAGTTTTATATTCCTATTATCCAAATTCTCTTCTCTATTATCTTTTTATTTCATATCCCACCAACACTTCCAATTTTATGTTTAACTTTTCATTAACTTAAAAATCTAAGTATCGAAAATTTATAGTATAAATTAAAATGAGAAATTTTTATTAAAATGAAAAATTGATGAGATCAGTAAATTAATCTAGACAAAAAAGGAACAAAGAAAAAGAACTTCGATGATTTTAAAGTTAGCCTTAATAATATAAAGAATTAAGGTTAAAAATGTTTTGACTCTAGAATTATCATATCACCTAATTATCCAACTGAAATGCACAAATTTAGATATAGTTGTGCCCCTGAACTGCTAAAGATATTTCATCTCTCCTTTATTTTGATAAATATAATTTTTCATTACTATTATAATCGAGATATAATTAGATAGATACGATATCATTTTTTGAGAAATATAATTGAAAAATGCAATAAATTAAGTTAGGATGTTAAATGAAAAAAATTATTAGTTTACCTTTTTATAACAATTGATATCAGGATTTCATAAATACATTTTAAAGAAAATCCAAAATTATAGAAATACATAAGGTTTATATTTTTATATCATCTAAATAATCTAATCCTATGTTTCTATTTTCAATAATTTAGGAATATGCCATACATTATAATAACACAATAATAATTATTTGATGTTAAAAATAATTAAAGATCAAAATTTGATTTTTAATAATTCTATTTTAATATTCATTTTTAATATCTCTATTAGCTCAAATTTAATTGGTTAATCTTTTTAAGCATGTCATGTTTTTATTCCAAAGCATTAAGTATTAGCCATCTTCACTTAAAGCTCCTTAAATACTATCTATTTTTCCATTTTTAATAAAGATATCCTCTTGGTCAAAAATAATTAATTATATTAAAATAAAATTACCATCTTTCTCAAATTTTAAGACACTAACTTCATTTTATTTTATCAAAAATGTTTTATTATTTTTGTTGAAGATAAATGAGTTTTAAAAAATTGATTATTTGATATAGTTTTCTTGATGAATTCGAGTTTTCTAAAACTAATTTAATTTTTTATTATATAAGTAAATTTCAAGACTATTATTAGAGTTTAAATAAATAATTTAGTCATCAATAAAATCTAATATTTATCCCATTTAATTAACTTCGATCCATTATTATTATTTCCAAAATGGCCTCATTTTTTATTAATTTTTTATATAAACAATTAAATAATTATCAATAGATCCACTAACCAAGTGGCAAACTAATTTATCTTCTGGTTTATTGATTTTTTATTATTTTACAAAAAGGGCTGGATTATCAAAATCTAATTCCTCAACACATTTCCAACTTGAATTTTCTTTCTAAAATATGCCTATGCTATGAAATTTACTAGCAAATAATAAATTTTCATCTTTGCTTAATTGTATATCAGCCCATGGATAAAGTTAATGATCATATTTTGATAAGATTTTGCAATTATTAATGGAATTTATTGAAATATTGATAATGAGATTTTAAGGTAAAAGAATCACTTCCTTTGATAATTTTAAATAGCCCAATTATACTTTAGAAGGATCGTCATAAATTCTTTTACGTGCTATAATTTTCAATTTTAAACCTTTAAGATAACATATATTTAAATAATCATTTGAATATGTAAAAAGCAAATTTGAATTAGGAATAAAGGCTAATGAATTAAGTTTATTAATTTTATTATTATTAAATTAGATAACATCCATTTCAATCTACATTGAAGTTATTTTTCTGAAAGTTAATATTTTATATTAGTTTTATTTATAATTATTCAATTTAATTTTATGTAATAAATTTTAAAATATAGGGAAGATATCAATTAGATTATTTAGTATAGAAATTTAAAACACTAATTATATATTCTAAATATGATATATTTTTTAATATAATGTTATTTCAAATATCATAATTTGTTTCTGATATATTCTCTTTACTTCTTGTATCCAATTCAACCCAAATACCAACTTTGTAACCATTCTTATATTATCCATTTAAAATTACATACCACTTACCTTCTTTGACTTCCATCCAATTACCCTCTTTAAAACCATTTTCGTCATAAAATCCACCACCACTTTTAAATTTATTTAATGATTATTAAAGAACTTTATATAATATTTTTACATCATTTAACTGTTTTCATCTTCAAAATTTTTCTTACACAAAATATCCCATTTACCAATCTTCTTACCATTTTTATATTCACCATCATATTTAATTTGAAAATACTTACAAAATCCATCAGATAATTCCATCCAATTTCCAATCTTAATCCCATCACCATCCTCATTATATTACCCACCGCCACTATGTGTATTTTATATATTATTCAATTACATCTTAGAAAATGTATGATTACTATATTGTCTAAAACAAATATCCCATCTACCAACTTTTTAACCATTTTTATATTCCCCATTATATGTTACTTATGAATCATAATAAAATCCATCTGATAATTCAACCCAATATCCCAATTTAATCCCATTACCTCCTTCATCATATTATCCACCCCCACTATAAGTGTTTTATATAATATTATGTTACATCTAAGTAAACGGATGACTGCTATATTCTCTAAAACAAATATCCCATCTACCAATTTTTTTACCAATTAAATATTCACCATTATAAGTTACTTAAGATTTAAAATTAAATCTATCTGAAATTTCAACCCAATTACCTATTTTAATCTCTTAGCCTGTTTCATCATATGATCCGCCTCCTCTAAATAAGTAAAACTTTAATGAATTTTTACATCTTATGATCTCTATACCAAATATCCCATTTGCCAACTTTCTTACCATGTTTGTATTCGCCATACAAAATCACTGAAGATTCATAATACAATTCTTCCCACAATTCCTTCCAATTACCAATCTTAATTTAATCACCTTCTTCATCATATTATCCACCACCACTATATTATAATCACTTGATATATTTTACATTTTTTCCTTATTATCAGAACCCTATTCTTCATACCAAATATCCCATCTACCAATTTTCTTACCATTTTTATATTCACCAATATAAGTTACTTATTTAAAATAATTAAATCCATCGGATAATTCCACCCAATGTCCCTGCTTAATCCCTTCACCTATTTCATCATAAAATCCACTACTACTAAATTCCCATAGAAAGATTAAATCATAAGATAATATTATTACATTTTCAAGTTTGGTTTATCCTCTTCATACGTTTTATACCAAATATCCCATCTACCAACTTTCTTACCATTTTTATATTCACCCTTATAAGTTACTTAAGATAAATAATCAAATCTGTTTGATATTTCTACCCAATAACCCTACTTAATATCGCCATCTTTCTCATCAAATGATCCGCCGCCACTAATCATATGAATTTAAATAATAATTTTTTTACATGATCAAGTTTTATTTATTATTCTCATGCTCCTTATACCAAATATCCCATCTGCCGATTTTTTTACCGTTTTTATATTCGCCTTAATGTGTTACTTAAGAACTATCAGTAAAATACTCCGACAATTCAATCCATTTGCCTTACTTCTAAGCATGTTTATTGTATAATCCACCACCACTATTAAATAACTAAAAATTTATACATAATATTTTTTTAATAAAAATAATTCCATCTTTTATATCTTTGATCATGAAAGTATTCACCCCTTGCAAAAACTTAAGCTTTACTTTTATTACTAATTTAATTCAATTTACCTCCAATAATTCTAAATTGGTTCTGTCCATAAGCCTTCCTTTAATCCATCCTCATAGTATCCTCCTACTTTTTAAAGACCTTCTCCTTTCCAATTGGCTCTCCATTCACCAATTTTTTTCCTGTTTTATCCATATTCTCCTTGCCATTATAAATATTAGATCTATTCCATATTAGTTAAAATTTCAAAGTTAGTAGGATTGCTTTTAATCAATTCTCTTATAAAATTAAGAAATTTAATAATACTTTCTCAAAATTACACCTTCCTTTGAGTATAATATTTAATAATCTTAATCTTTTACAAATGTGATTTAAATTTTGACTTTTACAAATTTCTTTTTATTTTAGTCTAAAATGTCGACCTCTTATTCTTGATTTTTATGCTTCCTAATTGTTGGATCTAAGTAATTTTATGTTTAAATCATTAAAATATTTTTATAATCTAATATTTATATAAATAGTAATTTCTTATAAAGCTTAAAATTTATATAAATTAAAAATTAATTTTAGTCATAAAACTCATTGTTTGTAATGATATAGAAATTTATATTTATTATGATCTTATTCCAATATTTCATAAGAAATACAAGAGGATTCAAGTTTGATAAATAAATTAGAATAGAAAACTCATACAACATTATAAAATCTAAGAAATATTAGTAGCTTCTAATAAAATGAATTAATTTTTATCAAGTTTAAACTGATAAATTTATTACAGAATTATTATTTTATGTAAATTCAAGCTTCTCATCTTTCTCAATATTAACTAATGATTATTTTTTTATTTCTATTTAATATATTGAAAAATTCATCCATATGCTGTTATAATTTTGATCGAAATTCAACAAACTACTCTGTTTATAAACTTTTAATTTGTAAGTAATTTTGATATTCATGGTGATTTACGACTCCATCTAATTAAAAATCAACCCAAAATTTTCAAAAATGGGGAGTTATTTCTATTTTTTAATTTTCATCAATAAAATTAGAAATAATCTAATATAAATATTTCAACTCTTCATTTCAAGACTCTAATATAAAAAGTAAATAATAAAATATTGAGAAAATTAAAAATCAAACAACTAAAAAATGTTTGAAATTCTTCTCTAAACTTTTCACTTCCTTTTACACAAATCTTCTTGAAGATATTTAAATTTATATTAAACTATGATTGCTTTTATTTAATAACTTTCATTTGGCCAAATAGGATATTGTCTTTAAAATTTTTATTTAGGATTTTTCTTTTTGTAATGTGCAGGATAGTAAAGTATCTTAAAATTTTTTAAATTATGATAAAGAAATGATCAAAATTGATTTAATTTATCTATTTATTAAGAAACTTTATTAAATTAAAATTATCTCTTGGACAATTGCATGATTATTAACAACTTAATATATTTTTTAAATTACTTATATTCACAAAATCTATCAGTCTCATTTTTTGGAATTTATAAAGCGTTTCACTTAATTTTCAATTAACATATATTGAATTCAGACTTAGAATTTTTTTTACAAATATTTTTCGAAATTCAAATTATAGAATTAAATAAAATGCTTGGATTACAATTTATATAAGAAATGTTTTAAAAATTAATTTTTATATATATATATGAAATGATATTTTAAAATACATAATATAACTTAATTAACTTAAAAAAGGTTTGGTTTATTTTTAAGCATTTCGAAATTAATATTTAGATAATTTAAAAAATATATCATACAGACTCATAGTAAAGAATTTATACTATCAATTTTCGGAATAAATTTATTGTTTATGATATTTATTCTTTAATATCAAAAATTCCTTAATGATGTTTAAAATAAACTATAATAATTGTTTATCAGATAATTATTTCTTCAGATAAACCTTTAAGATATGAAAATAATTTGTAATATTAATTTTTCCCTATATATTATATGAAAATCAAAATCATGCCATTAATCCCAAAATACCTAATGAAACAACTGATAAGATGTAAGAACTATCGGTAGTGGATCCATTATCTGTTTAATTGTTTGTATTATTTGAATTGTTTGGATTGACAGATCCTAAAAGGCAACTTTCACATTTATTAGTAGAAGCATTCCAACTATAAGTGTAAGCTGATTTAGTGTAGCAAATCTTGGAATCTGTCATGGTTCCTGGATCAGCAGCTGCACATTTTCCACTTTAAAGAACACAAACAGTGGATGAAG